CAAACAAAACATGGTTATTTTTTTTTAATTTCATTAGTGTTTTATTTTTTCCTTCATTTTAAATGGAAACAAACTATTTCGCTTCCCTTCTGAAATAGATAAAATCTCTTTCAAGAAATTTGGAATCAAACATTTACAAAAAAACATGCCACAACCTCACCCCAAAAAATGGTTGGTACGTTAGCCCTGTTTACTTGATGACCGTTTACTTGAGTCTGGAGGTGTATATGTGAGCGTTCCCATGAAACCTTTTTTATTGCGGGTTACTGTCTAATTGGCGGCGTTGTTTTCGTGGTAGCATGTTCGCCTCGAGTGCGGGAGGTCGTGGGTTCGAACCCCGGTCGGATCAAAATCAAAGGCTTTAAAATTGATATTTGCTGCTTCCCTGCTAAGCACGCAAAATTAAGGAGTAAGAGCAAAGGCTAGTCGGATCGGAATCAGAATAATGTGTCCGGGTAAGGTGACATGTCTTCCTTCGGACTGTTACCTTGTGAACTAGCATGTTAAAAATCCAGCTCAGGGTGTCGGTCTAGTACAAAGCAGGGTTAATATTCATATCACATTAACATATTCTCGTACGAATATGCATATCAATTTGCCGCTGGACGTCAAGCATCCACCCATAATCATCTAGTTGAAGCTGTGAAATATATGCACGAAAACATAATAAAAAGCTGCACGCAAATGTAATGCACCGAGTTGAAGTTCATTCCATATCTCCTTTATTCCATTTCGGGGGAGGGGGCGGCTCGGTGGCCGAGTGGTATAAGTAATCGAACTACTGTTTCACTAGCCTTTCAACACTTAGGTTGTGAGTTAGAATCCCGCACGTGGCAGGTAAGCTCGACTCCAATCTTAATTGACTAGCATTGTCAGTTTTCCTACCGAAGGTCGGTAGTTCTCTCCGGGCACTTTGGCTTCCTCCACCAATATAAACTCACCGCCACGAAATAGCATGATAGTGTTGATATTGGCGTTAAACAACAATCAATCAACAGATTAATCAATCAATCATTCATACCGGTATAATTATGGCTTCTATATCTATATCTTTATTCTCATAAAGCCAATGCATTACATCAGTACAGAGATAACAACAATAACTATTTACAATATATACAAAACAAGGGAGAGAGGTGACAAAAGTCACTAGCAAGGAGGACAAACACACGTGTTTATATTTTTTATAAATGAACAAAGCTTCTTCAGGACTGGTTTTCAAGTACTCGACATAAGTTCAGAGAATTTAACTGTGTTATGTCGTTGTACAAAATAGGATGATAAATACTCTTTACGTTTTTGATCGAAAAAGTACATTCAAATATATAGTGATATTCGTCTCCAATTTGTCGATTGTTACATTGATGGCAAAAACGGTTTTCTCTTAATACGTTTTGCCACCTTCCTGTTTCAATCGGCAATTTGTTATTAGTCGTTCGAAATCGACAGAGAACAACGGCATCTTTACAGTTCAAAATATTAAAATATTCCTCAAATTCAAGGTTTTTCCTAAAATATTTGTAGTTAATAGCTTTTGACGAACTTTGGATTAGCGAATTCCAATTCTGAAGAAACTGGTCTAACAATCTTTGCTTTATAACAGTTTTTAACCAATCTTTATTAATGAAATTTTGTGTTTCCCATATATATGAGAAACCACAATTTTGAAATATTTTTTTGACAAACAGAATCCATGTAGTCTGCATGTTATGATGACCGTTCATATCGCGAGAAAGTTAATATAATATAAACGAAAACTTCGCTTGTTTTCTGGATATCAAATTTACCCAAAATAATACTGCTCGAACTTTTATATCTATGTCGACCGGATGGCGACCTAGTTCCCCGTAGACCATATAATTTTGTGTTGAGGATTTCAGATTTAAAAGTAATTTACAGAATTTTAAATGTATCTTTTCTAATATATCATTTTTACTAAAACCCCATACTTCGCACCCATACAACAGAATGGGCTTGATTATTTTGTCAAAAAGATCAAGCTGACATTTTACAGAAAGCTGATACATCCTTCCCATTCTCAGGACTTCGTACATGGCTTTTAAGGCCTTATCGGATAAATGTTTTTTTGTCATATTAAAATTCCCTGTTTTAGTAAAAACAATTCCCAAATAGTTATACTGCTTTTCTGTCTCAATGTTAGCGTCATTGTAAGAAAATGGGGGATTTTTTGGCAAACGTCTAAAACCAAACACTAAGGCTTTGGTTTTGTCAACGTTTACTTTCAATTTGCAAGCCTTACAATAATCATGGAAGGCATTGGGTTGAGTCTGCAGGTCCTGTGCTGTTTCGGCCAACAATACCGTGTCATCTGCGTACAATATAATAAAAAACTTAAGATATATTTCTAATTCTCTTTCCAGATCTTCTGCTGTAGTTTTAAGTCCTGTAATATTTTACTGACTAAGAAATTTTCTTAGTCATTCAAAAGTAAAGAAAACAGGAAAGGTTTCTCCTTGTCGTACACCATTGTCACAAGCAAGCAAAGTATTCCGAATTACAATTATTATATGCTATACTAGATTTAATATCACTGTACATATTCAATATTACATTATACATCTTACCATTTATATTATTCAATAACATTTTATAAAACAAACCATCTCGCCATATTATGCATGAGTAGATAATTTTATAGCTATTGTTATGAAATATTTTAAAAACTGACGGTGTCTTTTGCAATGAATAGAAATAAGAAGATGTGGTATGAGTGCCAATGAGACAACTATCCATCCAAGTCACAATTTATAATAAGTAAACAATTATATGTTAAAGTACGACTTTCAACACGGAGCCTTTTCTCAAACCGAATAGCAAGCTATAAAGAGCCCCAAAATTTGTTTTATCATATTTTCGCCGCAGCCGGAAATTTCTTCAACTAGCTCCTGTATTAATTGATCTTAATCTTCCTCCGAAATGTTTGAAACGTTGATTTTTGATAAATTTCATTGTCTCAATTTTCCTATAAATTGCACTTTCGCTAGCGATAGATACAGATTTGAGCCGGGTGTATAGTTATTCCGCAGAAGCAGATCGGAATCAGTTATGACGTAGACAGTAATCATTCTAATCGTAATCATGTTCATTGACCATAACGACGATGAAAGCACATCATATAATGACGTTTCGACATCATATAATGAAGTAAACCAAACCACATCATATACGATTACAAGCACATAATATAATGACACAACCACATCATATAAAGATGTTTGCACATAATATAAGGGAAAATGCACATCATATAAGAATATTTGCAAACATATAAGTATATTTGCACATCATATAAGTATATACATTTGCACATCATATAAGGATCTTTGCACATCATATAAGTACATTTGCACATCATATAAGGATATTTGCACATCATTTAAGAATGTTTGCACATCATATAAGAATGTTTGCACATCATATAAGTACATTTGCACATCATATAAATATTTTTGCACATCATATAAGTATATATGCACATCATATAAGTATGTTTGCACATCATATAATGATATTTGCACATCATATAATGATGTTTGCACATCATATAAGGATTTTTGCACATCATATAAGGATATTTGCACATCACATAAAGGTGTTTGCACATCATATAATGACAAGAGCACATCATATTAAGGTAAATGCACATCATATAATGAAAATGGGCATAACAAGACAGTTTTGGCGTTCCATAAAAATCAGTTAAAAAGGGCTCAACTCATCAGATCGATACAAAGAAGAAAAATTTCTAACAAAAACACAGACATGACATGGCAGGATATTCAAACATTCCCACAACAAAGAAGACACTAAGTATAGGTCTGAGAGTACTCGCAGTTACTGACAGCTTGTTCGAAGCCAATAACAACTAATAAAAAAATCATGCATCTAAGACTAAAATATCAATCAGTACACACCCAACATCCAATGGATTTAGTTTAAAGACGTACTTAACAGTCAGAGTAAAAACATGACCTTGTGCAATGCCAAGATACAGGTATCGACAGATTGTAAAGCCATGAATGTGCATATGTATATAAAATAATATTTAGTTTGATTCTTATTTAATGATAACAAAATCAATATTTATACCAATAATCACAATATTCAAAGATCTTATTACAGTGTTGAATTAGTAACATTTTAGAATAAGTTTATTTAAAGGATCGATAAGTTTACCCGGATCGTACAGTCAAATTTCCAAACCAAAAATCCAAAACGTCACAACAGACACGGGAAAAGCGAACGAGTTATGATATATAAACACCGTAAGATGGTGCCAAAGGAACATCACCGTCCAAAAAAGGAAAATAAATAATTATTCCTTTTGTCGTAAATTTTTGTGTAGAGTTGCCCGTGTATAAGTGAAATATCAGGACAGTTATTACAATTTATATTTATTTAAAGGAAGTTATTTTGGGTAAATTTCGGCAGTATATTTACAAAATTCTTAATTAGTTAACAAAAAATATCATCAAGATAACGGTAAGTGTTGTTGAATTTATCAATTAAATGCAATTTAGACGGGCCTTTACTGAGTTTGGTTATAAACTGTGATGTTTATTCTTGACCATCGACCTTTATCTAACGGAAATGCACCGTGTGACTTTTTTTAAATGTAAATCTAAAATGTAAAACAAAAGTACAGATAATAAATTTCCGAATGATATATACTATAGCCGTATAGTTGGTTAGTACATTAAATCCTGGACTAAGAGTTATACTCAGTTCATAGTTAATTTAAGTTGGACCTACATAATCCTTCTTTTTGACTTTTTTTTTATCTTTTGACTCTGTATTAAGTAGATATAGAATAGGGGACATATACTCTTTGGACATTATAGTACACTGCAACAGGTCCAGCATCGTATTGTTCCTTGATTGTGTCATTATAGAAAGCGAATTATCGCAGACTTCTGCTTACATGAGCAACACAACGAGTGTCATATAAATTGACTACTACTATATTATTTGTTTTACAGAGCCAAAGCGCATGAACGATTTCCGGTTGTATTTTGCAAATGGCAGTGCGTATGAACAAGCTGAACGGTGCCACAGAGATTCGAAAAAGCTAGCCTACCTTAACTTGAATCAGAGTATCAATTGTGATTTAAGCCCGGCCAAGAATGTTTATTTCTTCAACAGAAATACATTTGTCGAATTATGTTACATAGAAATATATGGTAATGTATTAACAAACCATTTTTTTTAGAATCACATACGGGCGAGTTGTTTTTCCCCAATTAAAAAAAAGATAGATTTACATTTGCATTAAAAAGAATTGTTAATCACTGAATAGATATTACTTATCGAAATACGACATGTTCACTAAAACTTGGTAGTAAACTACGTTAATGTTATGTCATTTGCTAACATAATGTAATTTGACAACCGGTAGGTGATGTGCAATGGGTAATGTTCATATTCATAACAGGAGATGGAGTGTATATGTCAATGAAACAGAATTCCATCGACGAAATTGTGGGTGGATTAATGATTTGTTTTTCTCAGGACAAATGATTTTGCTCGACTTTAATAATAAAAAAATAGCAATTTATTTTTAAAAACATGCATAGATTAGAAAACAAAATATTGATACTTATTGTTTTTTTTCTCCATAATTTAAAATGGAAACACTCTATTTATTTTCACTTTCCTCTTCAAACAATTGTATTACAGAACTTCAGAATCAAACAATTTATTAAAAAAAAAAAAAGACATACAGATAAAAAGATAAATGGTCGATGTTCAAGTTTGTGGGTATATTTATCAGAAATTATCGAATATCAACACCACATTTTCCAATGATTAAAAACAGACAACACATCATTAAGTTTGACATAACATACATTAAGACAAACACTGACGACGTTTCTTTCGTGGGACAGGTTCACGACTTTGTCTTTATGTTATGTAGATTATGTATCATATCTCGCAGTAAAAAGAACGCCATAAACTAACAATAGAATAGATAACAACATCTGATTATAAGTAAAAACACAAATATACAATTATACAAGAATGCTTGCAGTAACTGAAACAAAAATCAAAGTACTTAACCTGCTGATATGAAATTATACAAGCTTACAAGCTTATAACGACAGATGTACTTCATGAAAGATTTTATAGAGTAACATCAGAAGCAGTATAGGGATACAAGATTTTCTGCAATGTCATGAACAAACTGTAGAGTTCATATTACTTTACGTTGATACATGTATACTGTCTTGAACTCCGAGTAAATTTAAATGCCAACATGTCACTCTTCCAATACTTAATGTGTACATGTTCCTAAAACGACTTCTATACTTAGATCCAGTTTAGGCCAACAACTTTGTCTGTTTAAAGGTACCAATGTATCTCATGATAATTCGGAGGTTTCAGGTACATCATAAATCAATTATCTGATGATCACGGGTTATGCGGTATATATAAACTAGGAGGGCTAGTGATGTCACAACAATACATACACTATTGTTAGGATCAATTATATACCTCCCTATCAATATTTAAGGAACTCCTTAAAAACAGTATCTGACAGGAACTGTTAGCTTTCCACAATTTTACCCTTGGAACAAATTCTAAGAGTTCTTCTATTGAACAATTTGGGACAATTCTGCACTACTATAGATTCAGACAATTCTACCAATGTGCAGATTCTGACAGTTCTTCCCCAGAACAATTTTGGACATTTTTACCTATTGACCCATTAACAGATCTGGACTATTCTACCCATACGATCAGTTACAAAAAATCTGATAGTTTTACCGTAGAACAAATTCTGACAGTTTTACTCTCCACAGATTTGAACAGTTTTACTCTAGAATTGATTCTGATAGTTCCAACTTTGAACAGTTTTAGACAATTCTTGAGTTCTATGAGAGATTATGTCGAACCGATGATAACTGTACATGCATTTTCCTCCTAGTGTTAATACATTATCTAGACGCTTTATATTTGATAATATGGATTATTGCATTTCGAAACATTATGAAAAGATATTATGTAATCTTTTATGAACAATAGCTCTGACGATCGAACATTCATATTATAAATGAATTTATGTCGTTGGCTGCATTTGCGGAAATTCAACAAATTTTAGCCCATTATATGAAATATTTATTGCAAACAGTCACTTAGTTTGTTCAGTTCACTAAATGTCTGGTTTTAAATATAAAAAAAAACAACCGTGCCATAAACAATTGTTATTGTTTCAGTACAAGCAAGGATGCGTTAAAGTTTTGAAATGAAAGGACTGTCACTTCATTTAAATTTAAGACAATTAGGAATGAATGCTTGAATTTAGCATAGAAAGTAGCATGGCCAGTAATTGGGTTTTTTTTTACTATATATTTTGCTTCTGTCAGCGAATAGTGTCCATAACAAAGGAAAAGATATCACCCTATTTAATAAACGCGTATTGTAAATGAACCTTTGATGAAACTCCTCCTTACCGACTCCTTTCATTATAACCACAAGTAAGTATACACTGTATTCTCGCCTACTACAATTCAAGACAGGAACATTCAAAAACAAAATGGATAGACACAAAAACTAAGAAGTAGAATAATAATAAATAAAAAACTCGAAAAAAGAAAAAAAAAATATAAGGACATTATCAATTTGTTAATGAAAAGCTGCACATGTACTACCAAAAATATGTCTTAATATAATATGCAATCAACTTTCGACGTAGAGGGTAGGCCTTGAAAGTTAAATCAAAATACAGAGGGGCATGTAAATACAATATACAGATTAGTTGATACGTTAAGTATACCTGTATATTGTCTTATTGTTCGTTTTATGTGTACCTCTTTACTCCCCCATTACTCAGGAGGCTTTTATTTTATTCACAGTTTACCAAATTTCTCAACCGACTCTGTTTAATTGTTTTGTGTGTTTGTCTAGCTTTGGTAGTTACAATTTTCGACCTATATGGTTATACTGTTGTCTAATTCCTTTATTTTGTAAGTTGATGATTATATTGATATTTATTGTAGTTGACTCTAATCTTCACATGACAATACCGCATAATCTACTTAAACTGAAGTGTTCACATTTGGAAAAATATTATTTTAACGATTCTTACTGATTTCTTTTTTTTCTGATAAGGAATTTCTGTGCAGAATAACTAATGTAAAATTACACCTGTCCAGTACTTTACCGTCTGTATAGTATTCCAGTGTTTATTGGTACGTTTATACTTTCGACGATGAACTGTGCGATCTCAACGGCTAGCACGGCGGCCCATTATTTCAGTTGTAGAATTATGTGACCAGTCTTCAGATCATGGGATCTATAAGGTTTCAAGCACCTTAAGATTATATATCAACTATTTCCATTCAATTGTTGTCATATTAGAAAATGGTTGATTCTTATCGATGTTTTAGGACACTATTTTACTGAGTATGAAATTTTAGTGTATAATCAACGAAGCTAGAGAACCAAACGGATCGTAAACACTTTTATCTGTTGGTGTCGCAACGACAGCAACATACTGGTTATTTTTATTTGTAATTCGAGAGGACCGTCTTGCTGGTTAATACTAGTCTCTCTTTTACATGTATTACATTTCAACAAGATGTTTATTATTATTTCTTTCAGTTACAATCGTTAGGTATAAGTATCTCTGTGTGGTTCTAAGTGTTTGACGAGGATATGATGTGCCTTTATATGGTCTTTCCTTAAAAGAGTCAAATTTGGCAATGTTCTTCAATCAATTACATATGTTATCTGAGCTCTATTAAGTGAGGATAATGCATTTTGATTTCAAGTGTTGGAATTTAATTAGATCTCATTCTATGTATACAGGCATATTGAATCTTACGTTACCACATATTGCTTTTATGACATACCCTCTTCCACTATTCCGGAAGTGACTAATATGCCAGAACATGTTAATAGGGTATAGTTGTTTCGGTTTATCCCGCATGTCAAATAGCCTGTAGTTCAGTGGTTGTCGTTTGTTCATTTCTGTCATAGTTGTGTTCGTAAATTATTTTGTTAAATAACGCCGTTAGTTTTCTCAGTTGAATTGTTTCATATTTTTCATGTCGTGGCCTTTTATGTTTTTCTCATTGTTGAAGGCCGTACAGTTGCCTATAATTGCTTATACTCACTTCATTTGAACGTTGGTGGTTAGTTGTCTCATTGGCAATCATACCACATATCCTTATTTTTATATGAACAGTTCAGACCAGGCAAGAGGGACAATTGATTCCTTGCAGATCTTTGGTCAGGTTGAAGTAACTAAATTATAATAAATGTTTTCCTTTTTTCAACTGATTTTTTCGGCTGCCCGTCATTGGCTCTTCCCGGCGAGCTAGACTCCGAAATTGCAGGTGGTTGCATCCTTGTGATTTACAGTGCGCTGGTTTGTACATTTATATTCCCATTATTCAATCTGATGCATGCGTTGCAAATCACGTCTTTTTTATGTGCCGTGTACTCATTTGTAGTAATCGTTTCAACAGTCGTTTTGTTCCTCTATTGACTTTGGTCTGAACGCCAGGCATGTATTTATATAAAAGATTATTGGTTGTATGCAGTATACAGAGATTTACACTAATATATTCACTTTCGTTTTTGGTCCATAAGGCAATCATTAGATCTGGTCATTGACAAACTAGCGAAGCTTGAGTAAGCAAGCAAACATCCCAGTTTTTTTATTTTTTGGTAGTCTTTTTCTGAGAGAAAGTCGGACTGTTTACAAAAAGGCCCTTTGTTCCACTTTCTCGTGCAATGCACGTTCTGCCTACTGTTCAATTTCAGCTTTAATGCATACAACCTATTGCCTCATCTATGATTGTCAACTTGTGGCTTCCTGATCGACTTTGGTTTTGAACGTGTAGCCTACACTAGTGTCATTCGGATGGCTTTTTGTTTAATTTCAGCTTTTAGATCGGTTTACTATACAATGATCGTCCTTGTTCTATAGCTTGCTGTTTTTTCAGCAAATGCGGCCCGGTCGGAAAAGAGACGATAAATTAGATCCCTCGTGTAAAGAGAGTGCTAAGATATCTTAACATAAAAGAACCCTTGCTACAACAATCTGAAGGAACTGTAGGTGGTCTGTTGCAAGGCAGCATTTTTGTTACTATCATACATCATCTAATCCCCAGTGGCAGTAAAAATTTACAACCCTCAAACTATACGCATTAACAGTTTATGTCTCATATAATAT